AGTTCGATCGCTGGCTATGACATGCGCTGACCATCAGGGGGGCGGCGCGGAACAAAGGAAGGCCCCGATCGGCCCTGATCACCAGCCAGGCCTAGGGACCCTACCCATGCACAAATTTCATGCACCGGGCCTCTAGTAGAGAAATAAAAATATCAGTGATCAATGGGCTGCCTCCTGCATGCCCCCCCCATCAGGGAAGGAGCCTGCAACCTGGTCATGTGCCCTGACCAGGAATCAAACTGGTGACCTCTTGGTTCCTGGGTTGACTCTCAACCACTGAGTCATACCAGCCAGACATAAGGTTCTTGTGATAAGTAAATTGAGTTGAGAAGATGAACATTTAGGTCTTGAAAAATATTTGACTCTGGGTACATCACTGATGACTTACTGAAAAGATTGAAGGATTTTTGAAAAGTTTCTCCCTGTGTGTCCTAATACACACTTCCATTGTAGTTTTGCTTGTGTGGGCAAGGTTTTCAATTTCTCAAATTGTTGAAGTCCATAGTAGGGATTGCTTTTAAGCAGCTGCCACTTTCTGCCTCTAGATGGAATGATGTGGGAAGTTACCATAAAAATTCTGTGTTCTGTATTGCTTAGAGGTTTAAGCTTTCTGGAAACTATCTGACCCACATAGTTCTTTAGTCAGTTAATTTTCTGACATTCTTTTAAGCATTTTGGTTCCATAATATGTCTCCTGTTCTCCACAGGGATTGTGGAACTTTATCAAATCGGTTTTTAATAACACCTCGAAGACAATATCCAATTCAACAGGCCCAATATTCCTTTCTGGGGGTACTTCCCACAGTGTCCTGGAATGGTTATCACAAGAAGACTGTGCTATCTCCTCATAATTCCAAGATGGTGTGCAGTCCAGTGACAGTGAGGATTGCTCCTCCTGATAGCAAATTGACTCGTTCTCCAATGTAAGTATTATTGTTGGAAAAATAGCTCCTTTTTGTGTCCACTTTATTCTTCTATGGTTGTTTCTCTGACAAGACAACTATAAAGCAAAAAAAAAAAAGTGCCTGTCTGTTTAAATGAGAAATCTCAAATTTGAGTCGTTGAACTGTCGCTTATTTTCTTGTTTTTTTGCCTTACATTGTAGCTTTAATTGCTAAGGGCATTTTCTGTGAATGTATAAATTACACTGTTGCTTGTTGGCTAGCTTCTGTTTTTCAGTGAAGACTGTGCTATATGACGTGGTAATTAAAATATCTTAAGGCTAGAATCTTGTCTTTCATTGCAGAACAGAGCAGTTACTCAGCTCAACACTGTCCTCACCATCAAGTAATGCTCCGGACCCATGTGCAAAGGAGACTGTACTGAGTGCCCTCAAAGAGAGGAAGAAAAGAACAGTGGAGGAAGAAGAACAAATATTCACTGATGGCCAGGAAAATAAAAGAAGGTAACAGGCTCAGCAGAGTACTAAACAGGCCTCCCACATAGATTCCTGTGATTTGTTGAAATGCAGATTACTCCCAAAAAAGATACGGAGGCCTGCTCCAGTTTGTGAGCCTTAGTAGGTCCCCTTCTTTGGCTTTCATGGAAGAGCTTAATAATGCCGACAGTAAGGCTTTAATGCTGTTCATTTCAGGTTTAGGCACAGGTTAGATAAATGTTAAAATTTACCTTTTCCCTAAGTATTAGGATAAGCCAACAACTATTAGTCATGTTAGCCTCATACTTTTGATACAGATGTGTTAAATTCTGTTTTTGAGAAAAAATGTTCAAAGGCTTGCCCTCCTAATCTTGTGTTGTTTAGTTATCTGGGTAACCACCAGTTTAAATGTGTAATTGTGCTGAAGGGAATGCTTGACAAAGAAAAGTGTAACTAGGGTAACTAGATCTATCAGTAAAGAGAGTAAAACCGACTTCATTCTTTGGTTTTCAATAACTTAAGGAAAATGAAATAAGGAGTCTATTTCCTGAGTATGGTAAGAAAGGAGTTTGAAGTCACTAATGAGAATGCAGAATTGCTTGTGGCTTTCTAAATAGTTAAGGATTCCACTCATTTTTTTAATATAATAAATTGAGCAACCACAATGTGCCAGAGCCTATTCCAGGTACTGCGGATAGAGCAGAGAACAAAACAAAGTCCTCTTGGGACCTGTTGGAGGGAGAGAAACGAAAAGGGGGAGGATATTAAAACAAGGTTCAGATTGTAAGTATATAGAAATTTTAAAAAATAGGGTGATAGAAATTAAAAAGGGGGGTGATAAATGTGACGGTAATGAGAAGGCGGCTTCTTTATTTGAGGTGGTCAAGGAATTGCTCTTCTTTACATGAGTGAACCCTTGAAAAATATCATCATTGTCCCTATTACCTAAACCAAATTATTTATATCCTGCAGGTTCAGGGTTGGCCATCTTTGCTACTTTAGATAACAAAATTAAGTAGAGAATATTAATCAATGCAAGTGTATTTATGTAACATAGGAAGATCAGGTTTGATGATAGAGATGTGATTTATAAGTGAGCAATTTGAGCTAATGTCACATAGTTAAGCAGGAGTGGCAGGAGGCAGGGGGTGTGGAGGTGGGAGAGGAGATAACTATTCTTATGGTCCCAGTAGGTTTTTCATGTTCTTAGGGATGGGTAGTTCTACTTGACCTAGCTAGTGAGTCTATAACTGAAGATTCTATAGTTATCCTTCCCATAATTGGAATAATCGGTGATTATGTGCATCATGCATAGGCCCTTCTTAAATGTGAGATGTAAAGTTTTTCCCTAACAGACTTGCCATATTAACCTCTAGGTCACTATGGGATGTGTGGATTGGTTCCTAAAGTGTTTTTTCTTTTGTTTTTAATTTGTGGATGGTAGGGTGTTCAATTTGTGATTATAATAATTAATACACTGAATAGTTCTAAAGGTTTTGATGTAGAGTAAGTCTTCACTTAACATTGTTGATAGGTTCTTGGAAACTGTGACAATATAACAAAATCAGTTTTCCCCTAGGCTAATTGATATAAACAATAGTTAAATTCTTATGGTATCTAATCAACATTATAATAAAATGACATTGAATGATATCATGTTATTCAAGGATCTGTTGTATTTTTATACTTTCCTTATTGCCAGACAGTCTTAGAATAAATTTACCTTTTGGAATCTTTGGGATTTAAAGCAACCTTTTTCTTATCTAGCATGGGACCTGTGCTCCATAGAAATAGTACATGGTCCCAGGAATATGCTTTAAGGGGAAAAAAAGTCATTTCATTTCATTGAGAGTTTTTTGATTTATCACAGGCGCCATGATAGCAGTGGGAGTGGACATTCAGCATTTGAGCCCCTGGTGGCCAATGGAGTCCCTGCTTCTTTTGTGCCTAAGTAAGTGAAAATCCATCTGGTTGAGTTATACACTATTTAGAAAAAGGGCATTGCCAAAGTTATTGTCCTATAGATGTTCCTCTTTGCTTTTTGCATTGCTTTATTTGTTCAAGTTCAAATCTTTGAAATCAGAGGGGAACATTTGAGTAACTTGCCACAATAACGCTCTTATAATTCCTTTTAATATTTTTTAATAACCAAGTATGTAAATAGAAAGATCACAAGGTTTGCACGATGGATAAAATGCAAAACTGAAATTTAAGATAAGTGATAAGTTTCTACATTTGAGTTTAAATACATTTGAAGAAGAAATGGATTGGAGGGAAAGTGGCTCAAAAATATGTGTGAAAAGACTTGGGGTAACTTATATGCTTAATTTGAGCCAGCGGTATAATATGGCTGCCAAAAAAGCTAACGTGCTCCTATTCTGTGTTGATAGAACAAAAACTAGAATGAGGCAGGTAAGTGGTAGTGCTGCTTTCCTTAGTTCTACTCCGATTGTCCATGGAATATTGTGTTTGGTTTGGTGTACTACACTATAAAAGAGGATATACACAAACTGAAATTCATTTTGAGTGAAGCAACTAATATGTTAAAGGGTGGTAGGGGTGGGTGAGGAGGGTTTGAAGGTACATAAGTACTAGCCCAGAAGAGAAAAATCTCAACAGGAATAAGGAAATGAGGAAGGGAAAGATAATGGCCTCCAAAAAACTGGAGGACTAACAAATGAAAGAACGAAAACAAAACATCTTGCTTGGTGTGGCACCAAATAGGATTCATGGGTGAAAGTTAGAGGAAGTATTTTTTCATCCAATATAAGAATAAACTGGTCCACGTTTGACATATATCACTCTAGGACAGGGGTGGCAAACCTTTTTTCTGCCAAAGGCCATTTGGATAGTTAATAACATCATTTGTGGGCCCACTTAAAAAGTAGCCTGCTATATTTGGTCAAACATTTAATTAACTCACCCCTAATGCCTTGGCAGGGTCAGACCAAGCGAATTCATGGGCCTTATATGGCCTTGCGGGCTGGACGTTCCCTACCTCTGCTCTAAGAGATAGTGTATTATCTATATTTTAATAGAGGTTGGATGACTATTCTATAGGAAGGATGTATAGGAATTTCTATTTCAGTTAGAAACTTAGAAAAAATGGTTGGTTCCTCTTAACTGATTTTTTTAACAGCTTTATTAAGGGATAATTGATATGTACTAAATTGTGTCTGTTTAAAGTGTACAGTTTACGTTTTGACATGTATACACATATGAAACCATCACCACAGTCAAGATAATGAACATAACCATCACTTCCAAAAGTTTTCTAGTGTCCCTTAGTAGTATCTCCCTCCAATCTTGCCCCCATCCCCAGGCATTCAGGAATAATGTTTTCTATCACTAGAGATAAGTGTGTATTTTCTAGAATATTATTTAAGTGGAATCATACATTTAATTTTCAAAATATTTGGCTTTCCCTTCTTGACTTTGTCAGATATATTTAAGAAAGATTTTGTGACCATGGATGAAACCTTAAAAGAATGTTGCCTTCAATAGCACATCTAACTATCTTTTTCCCTTTTATTAGGCCTGGGTCTCTGAAAAGAGGTCTCAATTCCCAGAGCTCAGATGACCACTTGAATAAGAGATCCCGCACCTCCTCTATGAGCTCCATGACGAGCACATACACAGGAGGCATTCTTAGCTCCAGCCGCAATGCCATTACCAGTTCTTACAGTTCTACTCGAGGTTTCTCTCAGGTACATTATTCTTGTGGGTGGCATGGGCAAAATGGATTCCCAGCATTAATTAATTGATTAGTCAGTGTTTAAATTCTGGGATTTATTTACCTTCTGTAATTGAAACATTGTTGCCGTCACTGGCGCTCCCAGCTCTGAGGCTGTGGCCGGCTGAAAGCAGGTATCTGGGGTTTGTTTAGCTTCTATAATTGAAACATTGTTGCTTCCGGAGCTCAGAGCCGGGCCGCGGCACACGCGGAACCTTGGCTTCCTCCATCACTGAGCAAGCAAGCCTCCTTGCTCGCTTCAGCTGCGTGGCTGCTGGCCGCCATCTTTGTTGGCAGTTAATTTGCATATCGCCCTGATTAGCCAATGGGAAGCGTAGCGGAGATACGGTTAATTACCCTTTTTGTCTTTTATTAGATAGGATAGACTAGAGGCCCGGTGCATGGATTCATGCACCAGTGGGGTCCCTCAGCCTAGCCTGCAAGTATGGGGCCAAAACCAGCTCTCCAACATCCCCCAAGGGGTCCTGGATTGCGAGAGAGCGAAGGCCAGGTGGAGGGACCCCACCGGTGCACTATCGGGGCCAGGAAGGGACTGTGGGAGGGCTCCAGGGCGTGCCCAGCCCGTCTTGCCCAATCCCTATCGGCCAGACCCCAGCAGCAAGCTAACCTATTGATCGGAGTGTCTTCCCCCTAGTAATCAGTGCGCATCATAGCAACTGGTCAAACAGTCAGACACTTAGCATATTAGGCTTTTATTATATAGAATTAGTTAATATCACTCCATGTTCAAATTGCCCTTATTACCCCAAACTGTCTTTATTACTTTGTATCAGGGACCAAAATTCAATTCATTACATTTGGTTCATATAATGCTACTACTTTTTTTCATGCTTTTGAAAAAACTGGATCATTTTGTCTTATAGTATTTCCTATATTCTGGATTTAGTTTGCATTGTCACTGTGTCATTTTAACATGTGCTGTATCCCCTGTTTTCCTTGTAAATGAGTAGTTGGATCCCAATTGCTGATTAGATTCAAGTTCAATTATTTTGGCAGAATATTGCATCAGTGATGCTGTGATTTCCTATTGCATCACGTCAGGAGCACCTGAAGTTTGGTTGCCTCCCTTTTGTGGTGTTAATATTGATCACTGTTGTTAGTCTGATACTGTCATTTTAAATTTTGTATGTACTTTTCATCTGAACATTTTAGCAGCCATTATAATGACACTAGAAGCCCGTTGCGCGAAGATTCATGCAATAGGCCTTCCTTCCCCTGGCTGCTGGCACCGGTTTTCCTCCGGCACCCAGGACCCAGGTCTTTTCAGTCTTCAGTCTTCACTCCAGCCGGAGCCTTCAGTCTTCGCTCGGCGCCTGCGTATGCAAATTAACCGCCATCTTTGTTCGGTTAATTTGCATAGTTGCTCTGATTGGCTGGTGGGTGTAGTGGAATGACACCAATTTGCATGTTTCTCTTTTATTAGTGTAGATTATCTTTGCCTAGGTCTATTGTTTTATTAGGTTGCAAAATGGTGATATTCTAACTTTTATCTTTCCCTCTATATTTATTAACTGAAATTCTATGTAGAAGAACATGCCCTAACTATAGGAATGACAGGATAATAAGAAGACATTGATGCCATAGCTAACTCTAAAGGTGACTAATGATGATTTTGCTGTTGTTGATTATCTTTATGAACTTCTGAAATTTTATAAGCATTTTATAATCCTCAATGTGTTTTATTCCTTTTGGTGCACAAAATTTTCCAATTTTGACCAGTGGGAGCTTTCAAATTGGCTCTTGTATTCTTTCATTTTGACCCCAGAAGTCTTTGATTGCTTCATTGTTTTTTGGCCAAAAACAAATGAATCTTGTACATTTAAAACCCAGATTGAAGTTGAAATTGGCTATTTTTCAAGTAGTCTTGGTTTTAACATTTCAAATTCAGATTTAAGATTACAGAATTTTTTTGGTTTTGTATTTTCACACCAAAAATGTCGGTTCATAATTACTTATTTGATTGATCCTAGAACTTATGATTTCAAAATAACAGTATCAATGTTCTTATTAACAGTAAGACTTATGTAATCAGCTTAAGAATTATTTGTGGTTCATTTGTCATTAGTATATATTCCTCAATGGATACTGGCAATATGCAATCAAAGTAACGTGTTTTGAAGTAATGTGAACTAATTGTTCTCACTTAGTTACACCACCAACTTGATATACCCTTGTACAATGTGAGGGTTATTGATGCAGACCCCACAGTAGAAAATCCACGTATAAGTTCAGTCAGCCCTCTACATCCACAGAACATATACTAGCTTCAATCAATGGTTGTTTGAATCTGCAGATGCAAACCCGCAGATTCAGAGGGCCGACGGTACCTATCTACATTTATTGAAGAAAAAAAAACATATAAGTGTATGTGCACAGTTCAAATTGTAGTAAGGCTGTTATTCAAGTTTCAACTGTAGTAAGGTTCATTTGTTTGGTATCTTTTAGCAATTTCTGTTTTTCTTTTTGATAGGTGAGGAATAGTATTTAATTTATGTCTCTTATGAGTAAGTTTGTGCGGCTTTTCATATGTTAGAGAAACATATTCCAAATGAACTAAAGATTTAAATATGAAATAGAAACTGTAAAAGTATGAAAATAGGCTTCTCACACATTGCTGGTGGGAGTGTCAATTGGTACAGTTCTCTAGAGGGCAGTGTGGTACTAATTATCATTATTAAAGATGCACATGCCCCTAGATCCAGCGGGTTTACTTTGAGGAATTAATCCTACTCAAAGACATATACAAAGATGTTGATTTTAGCATTGTCTTAATATCAGAAGCTTAGAAACAATGTGTATATACCTTTTCAAGGGGCTGATTGTAATGTACAGTTTTTCCATGCTTTTAAATACTATGCAACTATTAAGAATAAGGCAGTTTAATAGAGACTGATGTGAATGATCTCAAAAATATATTTTAAAAAAGCAAGGTGTTGTCCTGGCTGGTTTGGCTCAGTGGATGGAGCGTTGGCCTGCGGACTGAAGAGTCCAGGCTTCAATTCCGGTTAGGGGCACATGCCCAGGTTGTGGGCTCGATCCCCAATAGGGGGCATGCAGGAGACAGCCGATCAATGATTCTCTCTCATCATTGATGTTTCTATCTCTCCCTCTCCCTTCCTCTCTGAAACCAATAAAAATATGTTGATGAAAAAAGAAAAGAAAAAAAAGCAAGGTGCAGCTCTGGCCAGTTTGCTCAATGGTTAGAGCATTGGCCGTGGACTGAAGGGTTGTAGGTTCTTTTTCAGTCAAGGGCATGTACCTTGGTTGCAAGCTCGATCCTGGGCCCGGGTCCTGGGGCACATACGGGAGGCAACTAATGGGTCGCTCTCACATCGATGTTTCTCTCTGTGTGTCTCTTCCCTTCCCTTCCACTCTCTCTAAAAATCAATGGAAAAATATCCTCAGGTGAGGATTAACAACAACAAAAAAGCAAGGTGCAGAACTCTTATCATTTGTGCTGCTGTTTCTTTAAACTTTTAATATGCACAGAACAATTCTGACAGGATATTTTAGAAACAGTAACTTATTGAGATAAGAGGGAAACTTCCTTTTAACTGTACACTCTATTTATTGGAATTTGTAACATGTTCTACAAGTATTACCTTTCCTGATTTCAAAAAATGTTTTAGGTATAGATAACTGTTAAGTAAAAAGTAAAATTCCCTGATCCTGGCTCTTCCAGTCTTCATCTCATCTCCATGCCTATTATTAACATTCCTACTGTGTGTGTAAACACAGATAATACACAGAATTTTGGGACTGTTTTACACAAGTGGGATCATAGCATATATGCTTCTTTGCATCTTTTAAAATGATATATTATGTAAACTCTCACTTTTTTAATGGCTTTTTGTTTGTTAGAATACTTTGAGGCCCGATGCATGAAATTCGTGCAAGAGTAGGCCTTCCTTCCCCCAGCTGCTGGCACCTGCTTCCCTCTGGCACCTGGAACCTGGGCTTCCCTCATAGCCCTGGCTTCGTCCGGAAGGATGGCCGGTCTAATTAGCGTGTTATGCTTTTATTATTATAGATAACGTGCAGAAAAAGAAATATGTACAGCTCCATGTAGCCACCATCCATGTCAAGTAATAAATCATTTTCTATACCCAGAAGCCCCTCTCATACCTACTCCCAATCACTTCTCCTTTCCTCCTTTCTTCCTGAATATTAGTACTATTTTTTTTTCTGTTTTTGAACTTTATATAAAGGAAACAGAGAATATGCTTTTTGTGTGTTTATATTTTACTTGTGAGATTCATCTCTGTTACATGTAGCAGTAGGTCTTTCGTTTTCATTGCTGTGTACGGTTCCATTATAAGAAGATACCACAATTAATTTAGTCATTCCATTGGACATTTGGGTTTTCAGTTTGGAGCTATAATAATGTTGCTGTGGACATTATTGTGTAAGTCTTTTGGTACACACATATAAAGTATGTGTATGTTCAGTTTTAATAGAGGTTGAACAGTTTTTTAAAGTGATATTTCAGTTGATACTTCTTTTTTTATATATGTATATTTTTATTGATTTCAGAGAGGAAGGGAGAGGGAGAGAGATGGAAACATCAGTGATGAGAGAGAATCATTGATTGGCTGCCTCTTGCACGCTCCCTACTGGGGTTTGAACCTGCAACCCGGGGATGTGCCCTTGACCAGAATCGATCTCGGGACCCTTCAGTCTGCAGGCCGACACTCTATCCACTGAGCCAAACCGGCTAGGGCCCAGTTGATACTTCTACCAGTGCAGTATGGGATTTTGTTCCTATAGTTACGCATCCTCACTACCATTTGGTGTTGCTCTTGAGTTACTCATTCTGGTGGGTGTGAAGTCGTTTTTCATTGTGGTAATTTTGTTTCCCTGGTTACTAATGAGATAAATGTATGAACTGTTCACTGGCCATTTGTATATCCTTTTTCATGAAGTGCCTATTCTAGTTTCTTGGCTCTTTTCCAT